ATGACAGTATTCTAAGGCTAAGTGCACTTGCAGACAAGGAGGTTTTGCAGTGGCAGACACACAGTATCTAAAATTAAGAGAGGCAAGCAGATCAATAAGGTATTAGCTTCTATCTCTTCATCCATTCTACCACTGCTGTAGTTCTACTGTGTAACTTTTTTCAGTTAGAAGATTGGAGCCTTGCTGAAATTTGTCACCCAGTGACTGGAGGAAAGGCAGAGCTTTATACCTCTCTGCCAGCTGTGAAGCAGCAAAGAAGCTCCTATGGACTTCACTGGTGTTTTGGATTGATACTGTCGTAACACATGTTTAGGTACAGAGCATGAATTTCTACCGCACAGAAGAAAAAACCTCTAAAAATGTGGAAGCCAGCATGTTGCGTTTATTTCTAGGAATTGTTTTAACAAAAAGCCCATGGTTTCTTTTTCCAGAACTTGGAAAAGAAACTAAACAGTTACACATATTCCACACAAAAAAATATTATATATAGAATGGCAAAGCACAAGATTATCATGTCAGAGAGACTGCTGCCGAAATGGAGTTTTCTCCTGATAACCAATGATTCTGTGCAAGTCCACTACTTTCATTTAAGGTAATATGGTAAGTATTATACAGCTTAAGCCCATTTTTAACTTAATAGCAAGGATCTGTAAGGTTTTTACCCCTACTGGGTGTTCTAATTTTTCAGCAAAAACTAAACTGACATTTATCTGCAGTCAGATTTGCAATCAAAGATCTGATGGTTGTCATTCCCATTGGGAAACTGTAGGTGTTGCTGAAGCTGCATCACTGCGTAAGAGGCTCAGGTGACCTAATCACACCCTGGAAGTATTGGTTAATACCCTCTCAAGCAACCTGTTTTCCAGCTTCTGTGTGATACTTGTAAATGTATTTGCATTTGGTGCATTCTTCATCACTTGGTTGTTGTGGTTTTTTTTGCTTTGGGTGGAGGATGGGTTTTTTGGCATTCTTCAAGTAATCTTCCCAGAACACCAGCCTGTATGAATCTTACCTTGTAAGTGAATCATGCCCTGCAAGAAGCTCTGTACTGTAGGGATCAGTCTGCAAGAGTTATGGATTTCCTTTTAATTTAAAAGAATAAAAAACAAATCAAGGTCTGTTAAAAACTGTTTGTATTCTGGGGACTTTAGAGTACATGGGAGTGTCTTTGTGATGCTTTCAAAAAAAACTGGTAAACAATACACTCTAGACAATACCAGGACTTTAGTCTTCCAGTTTAGCACTCTTGTTATCCCAGGGAACAATTCTCTAAGCACAATCTCTTTCCAGTCTTTTTGTCATCAGAGTGGAAAGATCAGTGGCCTTTGACATGGTGTGAGCTGCTGAGTGAACCAAGGGGGCCGGCATCACCAGGATGAAGGACACAGATCAGAGCAGGGCTGAAAACATCTTCCCAGCCTGATGAGCACCAGAAAATGCCCAGAGATCCCAGGGAGCTTATTTTTGGCTTGGCTCTTACTTTTGCTGGCTGCAAAGACCTTTCACAACTCTGTAGTGACATGTTCACACTTGAAACACTCCTCCTTGTGAAGTCACTGTGTCACTCATTCCAATCATCTTCAGGATGCCTGTCAGTCACAAGAGGAAGGAAACAGCAAACTTCCAACAGTCTACCACAGCTGAATGGAAAGATTTACACTTTCTACCATGAGAGAAAACACAGAATGAAGTCTGGTAAAAATCTGATGATTTCTAGACAGATTAAATGAAAGAATCACTATCATTGTCTCTGTTCTCATGTAGTCTGTCTCATCAAAACAGCTTATCATAGAATCTGAAACAGGGAGGGAAAAGAGGTACCCTCTCACCCCTGCATTCTCAGAATATGTATGATTCTGTTAAGAGGTGGGTCACAGGGAGACAAGGGAGTAAGTTTTCAGTATTACATCAATGCATTATTAAAGACTGGCATTGACAGATCCTAAGATACTCTTTAATTTGGCTTTGTTTCTGCTTAGAAATGAACTGGTACATGATTTGTATAGATAATAAATATATTTCTCTGTTCCCCAGGACATCTGAAAGAGGTGAATGAAAGTTCCAAGATGCAGCTTTATAAGCTGTTGGAAGCACCTGATCCAAGTAAAAACTGGTCCACTTTAGCACAAAAGCTGGGTCTTGGCATACTTACCAATGCCTTCAGGTTGAGCCCTTCCCCATCGAAGACTTTGCTAGATAACTATGAGGTAATGTGGCTGTATGAAGTTATAAAGAATCACAGAATTCTAGGGGTTGGAAGGGACCTCAAAAGATCATCTAGTCCAACCCCCCTGCCAGAGCAGGGTCACCCAGAGCACATAACACAGGAACGCGTCCAGGCAGGTTTTAAATATCTCCAGTGAAGGAGACTCCCCAACCTCTCTGGGCAGCCTGTCCCAGAGCTCTGTCACTCTCACAGTAAAGAAGTTTTTTCTGATAGTCACATGCAACCTCCCATGCTCCAGTTTGCACCCATTGCCCCTTCTCCTATGACCAGACATCACTGTAAAAAGCCTGGCTCTGTCCTCCTGACACTCGCCCTTAACATATTTGTAAACACTGATGAGGTTCCAAAGCGCAGTTTTCTATGGTACAACTTATGTGCAACTTAAAAAAGAGTTATGTTGCAATCTGAAGCACAAAATAGATGTATTTTCACTTGTCATTCTGTTTTCGCACTGAAATACAAACAAAAACTGTGCTAAAATTTATTCTACTAGTAAAAAAGGAATATATATATTTTATTTTTTTTCAAGACAGCTGAA